TTTATTCTCCAGTGTTTGGGACAGTGTTTGTGCTGTACAATAATATTTAAGGGACAGTGTTTGTGCTGAACACTGGAGAATAAAGATAATAATATTTAAAACACTGGAGAATAAAGAGAATAAAGATAATAATATTTAAGGGACAGTGTTTGTGCTGAACACTGGAGAATAAAGATAATGATATTTAAGGGACAGTGTTTGTGCTGAACACTCGAGAATAAAGATAATAATATTTAAGGGATAGTGTTTGTGCTGAACACTCGAGAATAAATACAATAATATTTAAGGGACAGTGTTTGTGCTGAACACTGGAGAATAAATACAATAATATTTAAGTGACAGTGTTTGTGCTGAACACTGGAGAATAAAGATAATGATATTTAAGGGACAGTGTTTGTGCTGAACACTGGAGAATAAAGATAATGATATTTAAGGGACAGTGTTTGTGCTGAACACTGGAGAATAAAGATAATGATATTTAAGGGACAGTGTTTGTGCTGAACACTGGAGAATAAAGATAGTGATATTTAAGGTACAGTGTTTGTGTTGAGTGTTCAGCACAAACACTGTCCCTTAAATATCATTATCTTTATTCTCCAGTGTTCAGCACAAACACTGTCCCTTAAATATTATTGTATTTATTCTCCAGTGTTCAGCACAGTTAGGTTTAGTAAAAAAAAAAGAAGAATATATACAGTTGGAATCTAATAATGGTGATGTGTGTATAATATTTAAGATAGTTTTGTACATAATATGATGTGTATATATATAATATTTATGTTAGTTTAGTTTTGTTGACTATTTTCTGGTATAGTTGGTACTGTCCATTCTGATGTTCGTTATCTACCAACTTAACTGCGTAGCATTTACAAGCGATAAATCACATATGAATATGTATGACGTTACAAATCTAAATAACCAATAAGAACAGATCACCTATGAATATGTATGACGTTACAAATCTAAATAACCAATAAGAACAGATGACTTATGAATATGTATGACGTTACAAACCTAAATAACCAATAAGAACAGCTTACCTAGATAGGAATGAGATCCGCGCGTTATATGTTGTCTAGATCGTTTTTTATGGGTTTTGTCATGCGCCAGTGTATCACATGTCTTACGGCGATTATCTGGCGCCACCTGGTGGTAGTTCAGGTTGTACCATTCGGGAGAATCTCGCAAATCTGCTTGTCGTAGGAAAATCCGTGTTTCTCCAATAAATATTTTTTTCCCAGATGGACTCATGTCCCACACAGTGATTTCTAATACTTTGTCCACCACCTGCATAATGGGATATCCATGAAAAAAACAGAATACGTTAGTCTGGATATATCACTTAACAACTTCAGAGGATGTTTGGACACTTGATACGTTAGTCTACATACATAACTGAACAACTTCAGAGGATGTTTGGACACTTGATACGTTAGTCTACATACATAACAACTTCAGAGGATGTTTGGACACTTGATAGGTTAGTCTACATACATAACTTCAGAGGATGTTTGGACACTTGATACGTTAGTCTACATACATAACTTCAGAGGATGTTTGGACACTTGATACGTTTGAAGTTGTTCAGTTATGTATGTAGACTTGAAGTTGTTCAGTTATGTATGTAGACTAACGTATCAAGTGTCCAAACATCCTCATACATAACTTAACAACTTCAGAGGATATTTGGACACTTGTTTAATTTTATTTCAAAATCTGTAACTTGAAATACCAGCTTCGCACTTTACTTGATAATTCACTACCGGTTGCGTGACGTTTACCAAAAATTCCAAGTTTGCATTGCACTTTACTAGAATATTTACTACCGGTTTCGTGACGTAAATGTCACTTCTGAGATATATCTAATAATATCGAAACCTACGCTTTCGATGGAGGAGCTTCAAAGGGAAACACGCACATAGTTCGCTAAAGGTATTTTGTCGTATCTGTATAATACCAAGAAAAATAACTATACCAACCTTTTTGACTTAAACTTATATTTATTGATGTTGTAGCTTTAAATGTATGTCCGGCTAACTTCTCATACACTTCTGGAGCTAGCAGTACCAAACTTTGTAACCGGACTCGAAGTGTCCCGGATGTGTCCTTATCCATATGGTGTAGCCCCTTTACCAAGGAGAATAAACGTCCCCCCCCCCGAAAGGTCACATGGGAATGGTGAGGGTCTATGTGCGGGTTGTAAGGGTCGTTAAACCCGAATCAGGTATGTGATTTTGTTTTCCTGGCCTTCTCTGGATCCCATGATTGAAACTTTACTTATAACCCTATTCACGTGCCACGAGCGAGTGTCCTAACCGGGTTTATTTTCGGGTGTGGTCTCCTTAGGGGTAGCTATAAAAGTAACTTGAGATACTGGAGGAGACTGATTGGTATTTTGGGTTCACGAGACCTTTGAACCATGCTAGTAATATATTTATAAAGATATACACAATGGGTTATCTGTGACCACTGCAGGTATCGAAACCAGATTTTTAGTTTTGTAAACTCTCGAACTTACCATTGAGCCACGGGGGGGGGAGGGTTAATAATAAGTCTTCTAACCCTCCCCACTTTTTTCACCATAGGTTTATTAATCATTATAGCTTTTTCTATTGCAACTTAAATATCGAACTTTCTAGACTTTTCCACCAGCCACTCACTGGCTCCAAGGAAACTCTCCAGACATAGATCTCTAAAAACCGGGTTTCGATACCTTTGATGGGCACAGAACAGACAGCCCGTCGTATAGTTTTGGGCTTAACAACAACAACAACAACCAAACATCTCACCAGATCTTACAGTTTTTAACTTCTATTATAAGACCTCGAAGTTTTTTGGTGTTTTTTTTTATCGATCATGCAATACGTTTACGTGTAGTTCAACCATTAAATTTTACTATACTTAACAATATAGAAGTATTCCTACCGAACTGGATCTGTTTTTGGTCAGTCTCTCACCTCTTTAGCTGAAATTGAAGGATAAATGAACAGTTCGTTCCAATCCGGATTTTCTCCAGGTTCAGCCACGTGAGTTTTTACCGATTCGAATCCACTAAAAGAAAAAGTGGATTTTTTACTCTCTCAGCTGGATTCAATCCATTTCGCCTCTTTATCTACTGCAATTTCCATAAATGAGTCATTTTCCAAAACAATTAGGCGTTTAATATACAGAGTAAACAAAGTTAATTTGGATACCAAACACAGATGCTAGAGGAAGGATTATCATTTTTTTTCCTTTCTTGTCTAATGTGCACTTTAAATCTTTGTTTTTGTTACCCTATCGGAGCTTTTGTGAACTACTACTGCTTTATTTATTTGATTTCTCCTTTGATCGATTACTCTAATAAACTCCTCATTTCGTATCTCCTTTCAAACTTAGGATCTACTCAGTCGTTCATTGAACGTTTAATAATTGTTACTTCACGAAATTGGAGGGAGTTATTCATACTTACGAGCTGGGCACCAATCGAAGCTTTGCGTAGGCACGAGGTAAGCTTCCAGAAGCGGATCTTCGGCGTCGGAGACCTCTTGCGGAAAGAAGCGTAACTGCCAAGTTATTCTGATTCTGATCGAACCAGATCTGAGCTTTTACCTCTCTCTGACTATGATTATCATGCCTCACCTTATTCAGAAGAAAAATTTATAATGAGTATTGTTGGTAAATCTTTACGTACGTGATAGTTATCGTTGCTTAGTTACGAGTTAATGTTAGCTATACCTGCACCAATTACGGTTTCGAACCATAGTTATCGTTGCTTAGTTACGATTTAATGTTACAGTTTCGACCCATAGTTATCGTTGCTTAGTTACGAGTTAATGTTAGCTATACCTGCACCAATTACAGTTTCGAACCATAGTTATCGTTGCTTAGTTACGAGTTAATGTTAGCTATACTTGCAGTTGTATTAACAACGTAACAGACAATCAACTATATATCTTTGTCATTTCGAAAATAAACCAACAGATTAAGACATTATATATAACTGTAGTGACAAAGCAAAGAGTGTGTGTGTGTGTGCGTGCATTAAATTATTTACCAACTTGCTTCTTAAAATATTTTATTTATTTATTTCACATTTTCAACTGTGACCCCTGTGACCCCTAAACTTCCATGTAGATTCACACATCGTCATCCTTAATACTTACTTACTGAGAAGATGAAAGGCAGTCTTGTAGGCTACAATTAGTCGATTAGAGAGACTGATTGTCACCTCCATAACGCGCCCATAGCTGAAAATACGTATCGTATTTAGTGACGTATAGCGGGCTCGAGCCTTGGGTCTTTCAATCCGCAGCCCGGCATGTAATACCAATGCTATTCTTGGTCGGAAAAACGTGACGTTTAACCGTCACACTTGGAAATCTCGTCCGCGCATTGCTTTGGTAAAGAGTTACTTTGAACTTAGCATCAGATATTCTGACTGAAATATAACATCACATGTAAATCACTAAAACATACGATCGATTTGAGGATCGTTTCAATAAATGTTCACTTCTAAATAATAGTGAATCGTTCCTAATGCTTCTGATCGTCGCTATGGGACCCGAGCTTGTCCTAGGGGTTGGAAACGTTGTGCTATCGAACAGGATTCGTACTCTCAGTGTGGATGCGTTATAAGAGTGACGGCCAATCTCTAAGTGATGAATGATGCCGACTAGTTGGTTTCTCTGTCTCACTGGTTCATAGTTTAAATAAGGGAAAACAAAACAAACTTTACTATAGAATATTCTAGAAAAACAAATGTATAAAAATACTTGTCTCTGTACGGTAAATATCACTAACCAGATTCAGGACGGTAAATATTATTAATCAGATTCAGTACGGTAACAACACCAAGGTCTAAGTGGAGTGGCTTATATAGTCTAATATATCACTAACCAGATTCAGTACGGTAACAACGAGATCTAAGTGGAGTGGCTTATGTAGTCTAATATATCACTAACTAGATTCAGTTCAGTAACAACATCAAGGTATAAGTGGAGTGGCTTATGTAGTCTAATATATCACTAACCAGATTCAGTACGGTAACAACACCAAGGTCTAAGTGGAGTGGCTTATGTAGTCTAATATATCACTAACCAGATTCAGTACGGTAACAACACCAAGGTCTAAGTGGAGTGGCTTATGTAGTCTAATATATCACTAACCAGATTCAGTACGGTAACACCAAGGTCTAAGTGCAGTGGCTTATGTAATTTAATATATCACTAACCAGATTCAGTGCGGTTTAATTTGTGTCTAGTATTCTCCTATCTGATGTAACTATTTCACAAACTAACCTTTTTGCCAGGTTATCAGACCACTCTGAACTATCTGCCAGATTATCTGGTTACTCTGAGCGTTATGCCAGATGACCAGGCTAGTCTGACCGATCTGTCAGATGATCAGGTCATCCTGACGCTGTGTACACAGTACTAACAGAAAACGCACATTTTATTTTTGGAATTATTTGAGATTTATTAGATTTGGATAAAACTTTGTCTGCTGTTTTTTTCACTAATTTATTCATGCGTGATTTTGGTACGCTATCTTCTATCTATACGCATGCGTACAGGTTAATACAAAATACGACTTACAGGAGTCCTTGGTAACTTCCTTCTGGTAGGAGAGGTTACATGAACGGTTTCGTTAGAGCCATTATCTGCAGAATATAAACAGACTTATTATTTTATTTCACGAAGCTCCCCCTATTATAATAATGAATAACAAACGTACAGTAAATAGGACACCTGACAAAACTGAAAGTGAAACCTAACCCATCCATGTGGAATGTAAGACGTTTTATGATAAAACAGTACGGTTGGTTTGAGTCTCATTATACGTGGCTCATCATTGCAAGAGGGAAAAGAATAGACAAAGAAATACATGTATATTTGTATGTAGGTTTGGTAGTTAAATATAAGTTGGATGTTATAATCACGTGTTTAAAGGTAAAACAGAAACAGTAATTATAAAAATAAAAAGTTTAGACTTTATATTTGTACAAAAAATAATATAGATAAGGTTCGAAACAAACAGAAATACAAAAACAACCTTCAAGCAGACAAACAATTAGACGTGAATATAGATGTACAAACGACTATCAAACAGATGTAGAAACAACTTTCAAACAGACGAAAAAACAAATTACAAAAAACCTTCAAACCGATATACAAATATATGTACAAACAGCATTCAAACAGACGTAGAAACATATGTACAAACAGCTTTCAAACAGACGTACAAACAGCTTTCAAACAGACGTGCAAACAGCATTCAAACAGACATATAAATGTATGGACAAACAGCTATCAAACAGATGGACAACTTTCAAACAGACGAAAAAACAAATTACAAAAAAAAAACTTCAAACCGATATACAAATATATGTACAAACAGCATTCAAACAGACGTAGAAACATATGTACAAACAACTTTCAAACAGACATGCAAGTATATGTACAAACAGCATTCAAACAGACATGCAAGTATATGTACAAACAGCTTTCAAACAGACGTAGAAATATATGTACAAACAGCTTTCAAACAGACGTACAAACAGCTTTCAAACAGACGTACAAACAGCATTCAAACAGACATATAAATATATAGACAAACAGCTATCAAACAGATGGACAAATATATGTACAAACAACATTTAAACATACGTACAAATATATGTACAAACAGCTTTCAAACATATGTACAAACAGCATTCAAATAGACATACAAATATGTGCACAAACAGCTTTCAAACAGACGTACAAACATATGCACAAACAGCCTTCAAGTAGACATACACACAAATGTATAAAAAAGACGTACAGAGAAATGTATAAATACGTGTTCAAACAGAAAACATACAAACAATATTCGAACAAACCTACACACAGACGTTCAAACAGAAAACAAAATCTACGACGGTTAAACGATGGTTCAGACTGAGAAATATCTATTAAATCAGAAAAGCGAGAATTATCTGAGACCATTAGTCTTGTCGTGCAGAAAATTACGTCTAAATCATAAATAACCTACAAAGCAGAGCCAAGAAACGTATAGAAGCAGGTACGATCTCCCATCAACGTACTAGTAGAATATACGAACACTAATATCGAGACTTTACCTTTCACTTTAGGGTTCGAGAAGCTTCCTAACTGGTCGCTTAAGGTCCTACGGAAAAGATATAATGAAATAAGGACTTTTTGAAGATTAATTAAAGACGGTTTTAGATTAGGCCTAACTCTAGGAATTATCAAGCTACAAATTTTGACTAATCCAGTATAATATTTTCCTTCTCAGTAATTTGAAAGATCATTTTATAGCATCTTGTATAAGAAGAGCATCAATAATTATCGTGTTTATACAGAAATAGGTTTAAAATGATATATGGTTGTAATATAGTGTGTGTTACCCTTGTCTAAAAAAGCCTAGTTTATCGAGATCACAAGTGTTTGATATCTGTAGGTAACACATAAAATATTGTTTCTTCTTCTTCAAGGGGGATGGGTGGGGGGTGACCTATTGGTCATTTAGAGACTAGTGATGATCAGTGGTACAAAGTGAAGATCGAGATCACAAGAAGACAGAACGAAGTGTTTGATATCTGTAGGTAACACATAAAATATTGTTTCTTCTTCTTCAAGGGGGATGGGTGGGGGGTGACCTATTG